ATAGTTTGCATCCGTCTAGGTTGTCGATGACATTTGCGGATGAAATGTTTCCAGATGTCGGCGTTGCAATCTGGGTCTTGTTTACGTGGCTCTCTGCGTTTGTTATATCGCTATGGAAACTAGGCTAAATGTTCATCTCTAATTTTTGTGTGAAGGATCAAGTTTTTTTGCCCGCACTTTAAAGTCAGGGCTAAAGAAATTCGGCAAACACATGAACGTAAAATACTTATCAAGTGCAGTTGTGTTTGTTAAAGCACTGGCTCCAAGGATCGATGGTTTGAATCCGTGCCGAAACAAGCTCGCCCCTCAATGCATTCGAACCCTGATAAGAAGAGCACTGTTAATACAAACATCCTGCTTATAACAAGGAAAACTGTAGATTCCAAGTCTCCGTTTTTTTTTTTCCATGACTGATAACACAAGGTAACTGTTGCAAGTCCCAAGGATCTTGTTGCAAACAAGGGCGGATCCAGAACACAATTCTTGGCGGGGGGGGGGGGGCCAAAAACAAAAATTGTGTCTCCCAAAAAGTGGGTCAAAAAATTACGGCGTGGGGTTCGGGGCCCGCTTAAGGGGCCCGAAAATTTTGGGGATTCTCGATGCTCTGTGGTGCGATCTGTGGCAATTTCTGACCACTTTAGCCAATGTTTTTTGAGGAAAAGATGGTGGTGTACTCATTGCCTGCCTTTATTGCGACGTCACATAAAAAAACCCAATTGGTTTCGGGTTTTTTTTTGGGGGGGGGGGGGCATGGCCCCCTTTGGCCCCCCCCCCCCTTGGATCCGCCTTTGGTTGCAAAGGTGCTCGACTGTATTATGACTTGTATTCCAATAAACAATAATGTCCCTTCAGCAGCACGAGTCATATAATTTCGTCATGCTTGTAATTTCGACATGCTTGTATTTGCACGTAAAAAAGGTGTTGAATACGGGGAAAGCAATGTCGATATTTCTGAGGAACTATTCAGGCATAAACACGGAAATAAAGGGTTCATGAATGTGTTGTGTGTATGACACGTAGGCCCAATAGGTACACGGTATTCGTGCTGCTTATAGCAAGGCAAGTTTACATGCTGTATAACGATACAATTTGGTGGGAGCCATTTTAAGATCCTTCTCATGGTCATTACTACTTCATCTTTTATTGCAAAACATTTCTCTTGTTGAACTAATTGTCCAGTATGACAATCACATCTACTGTTGAATAGGGCTAAGATTTTCCACGGAGTTCTTTTTCGGAACTGATTTGAGGATGCAGAACTTTCAGTTCATTTTAATTGTTCTGGTCTTGGCCCTGGACTGGTCGTTCGCACAAGGTAAGTTACAGCCGGTTTTGCCCGCAACTTGTTCAGATGTTCGGCCTATAGGGCCTATGTGTGCGTTGTGGTTATTTCTTTTTTTTTAATTTAGGAAGGCCTGTTTCACCTACAAAATCTGTTCGACTTGGATTATCCGGATAAGAACAGTTATTTAGTCTCAACTGTGCACATTCTTCTATTGATTTTTCATATTTATTGATAATTAATTTTTGGTACATATATTATTTTTCTGAACGCCATTGTGAAATTCTCATCTATGAAATTATCGTGATAATCAAAGACAATGGATTATTTCATTAGTCATGATTTTTTCAAATAGTCGTTTTTATGCACAAAGTTATTGGTCTACTAAATTATCTCCTGACAAGTTGTGTTAAAGGCAAAGGCCTACTGAATTTTAAATCCAAAAATTCTTACATATGATTCAACCGATATTTTTGATTAAGTGGACATCTACAGGGTAAGTAAAAAAAGCGGAACCCAAACCCCCAAATTTATATTTCATATTAAAAAAAATATGCAGCACCAAAAACAATAATGACTGGAAACCCAATTTGATAAGCTACTTTTAGATGAAAAAAAATACTAAAATTGCTCAATCCGTTCAAAGGATATCACCCTTTGACCCTAAAACCTATCTCGTCCAAAAATGCGATTTCAAGAATCGTCGTCACAATTGTCTTCAAACATCACCAGCGATAAAACCTCAGTTTAAAAGTTAAAATTATTCAACAAAGTCCTTTTGAAGGCCCGTCTTTTAAAAAAAAGTGGATTTTATAAATCATATTGTTTGCCTAATCAGGGTTGTCTTTTAAAGATATTGTGTACTACAGTTGTTGACAGTTGTTGAAACAAATCTTCTGTGTCATTTTCTTTGTTGTTCCAAACAGTCAAAACACAAAAAAATTGCTTTTTTTGGACGAGACAGGTTTTATGGTTATTGCGTTTAAATGGTGATATTGTTTGAACAGATTGAGCAATTTCAGTATTTTTTTTCATCAAAAAGTAGCTTATGAAATTGGTTTTCCAGTCATTATTACTTTTGGTGCTACATATTTTTTTAAATATGAAATATATTTTTTGAGGTTTGGGTTCCGCTTTGTTTTTTGACTCACCCTGTATTACTATTACGTTAGCAGCTGGGCCTATTTGAAATAGTCCATTCTATATTTTGTATAGCACGCATAATATCTGGTGACGTCTTTTGGCGTTCAAGTTGGCTTATTCGACTGATAATGCCTTCCTCTCTGGAATATTGATTCATTTTCGTCAAAAGTAAGCTGCCTGCCGCTGTACCTGCTCCAGGGATCAGATCTTTGTTTCGAGGATTTGTCTAAAGCAGTACAATTAACCAGAACAAATCGAATTCCAAACCTTCGAATGTCTATAGTGGATATTTGGAGTGAGTTTACAAGTCCCAAATAACAAGTATGACACACATCAGTTTACGTCAAACAAAATACGTTGTTATGTTTATATTTTTGCTTTCCTATAAAGTTGTGTACCTTAAATATCTAGACTGCTTTTCCACTTGATATGAACTATGGGAGCTACTAAAAAGCAATAAAAACCAATTCTCTACTCCTAGACATTATTCTGTGAAAATATTACAGTCATTTCGGCAGTCTCCAGATGACGAACATAACACACTCTTTGAAACGTCGTCTAAACAAGTGGTCAAGTGGCTCTTCTCAGAACCACACAATAAAGAGATGAAATTCACATGGGTGTTACCGCAAACATTCCATACTTCGACAAACTTCCTCCAAATTCGCGATTTTTAAAATGGTTTTTAATTTAGGTTTTTTTTTTTTTTTTTTTTTTTTTTTTTAGATACGGTGCCACCACAAGTATTTGGCTGTGCTGGTACAGATATAGCAGGAACAGATTTGACCACCACATCACAGACGTCAACTGCTATGTGGAACACACCCAGTGGCTACAATGTTCAGCCCGGACCAATTTTTGCACCCGTATTTGAGTTTTCCAACATCTATAGTCAGACGCCAGAGTCCACGCAATTCAAGTATGGCTTCACTACCGTTGGTTATCGGTTTGTAGATAACGCTCCAACAAGTCCTCCGCAAAACAGTGCTTTCTGCACCTTCTTTGTGAGGACTGGAGGTACGTATTGGGAAAGGCTTTTGCATATTTTGTATGGGATTCAGGGACAGAGAAATACAACTGCCTGCAGTCTGACAGGATCCATTTCCTTAAAAGCTATAGTCCATCATTTGCAGCCATCCGAAAAGTAACTGTCGTAATTATTGTTGAAAAACAAACTTGTATGAAAGATAGTAAGGGAACTAACTCCCTGTGAAATTTTTCTTTCCGGGAAGCTGTCATTTTGAAGTAATCAACGAAAGAAGGCATTTCCAACGGTGATTCTTAAGAAGCACCGTAGGAAAATTTAAATTAGTTGTTCGGTTTGTTATTCAGCGCAGCGCGCACAAGTATTGGAACGACGCACACGCGCGCGCGGTTGTTATAATTCGTCGGATCAGTGCGCGACGTCGCGTATAGCTGCAATTCAAAACAATTCAACACATGATTCAGTAACTTTTGATTTGAAATTGAGATCTTAGAATGCTGTTTTTCTCGGAATGTATAGCTGAAGCTTAGCTGAAACTTCATCAGGTCAGTTGCTCAGTATCCTTCATTAGATTTTGAACTGTTGCTTCAAACGAACAAAATGCACAAATTACAAATGATGGACTGTAGCTTTAAAGTGCAATAACGATTGTGTGGAAACTTTTTATTCTATACATTTATTTATCACATGGTAGTGTTTCATTAATTTTTTTGAAATACACTCAACCCAAAAAGGAAGCCCCCTAATACTTTTTTTGTCTGACTCAAAAACTACTGAGCATCTTAAACTCAAATAACGACTAATCAGTACAGAAAATCCTTGGCAATCGACACTCTTTATTTGGCACAAAAACGATAATGTGTACAAAATTATGGAATTTATGACAAAAGAATGATACCGAAAACAAGTTGCACTTATTGTATACGTGCAAGTTGAGTGTGAACATTTCGTCTCTATCTTCCAACAACAATTACTTCAAAATATTTTAAGAAATCAATTCTAAGAAATCTGTGTTGGAAGCTTCCGTTAGAGACGAAATGTTCACACTCAACTTTGCTCGTATACAAAATGCAACTTTTTTGTCGGTTTCATATCATAAATTGCATAATTTCGAACACATTATCACTGTTTTTGGCCAAATGAAAAGTATGGGTGGATAACTGAGGAATTCCTTTACTGATTAGTCGTTACATAAGCGAGAGGTGCCCAGTAGTTTTTGATTTAGACAAAAAAAGTATTGGGGGGGACTTTCTTTTTTGGTTGAGTGTATATGACGATATATATGTTATTTATTAAATAGAATTAACCTTGTCTTATGTTTTGTGTTTCATTTTTTTTTCAGTCAACAATGATGGTACCATACCAACAGTGCTCAACTGCCCAGCGAGCATCACTCAGCCTATACCATCCAGCCAAACTACCGCAGCGGTAAGCTGGACTGAGCCAAGAGCCACAGATAACAATGGCGTGCTGCGACGTTCCTGGCGGTCACATGCCCCCAACACTGCCTTTCCTGTTGGAACTACCCAGATTACTTATCAGTGGATCGACCCAAGCAATGCCAACTCACCAGCTCAGTGCATGTTCACGATGACTGTTTCCACTACAGGTATGTATGTATCTCAACACTGTAGTTCTCAGAGATTCTTAATTAAGAGAATCCCAAATAGCCCGATCTGGTTTTAGAGTCTGCAGGTCTGCTGAGCATACTACATGACTTTGTGTTTGATCTATCCTTCATTTACGCAAACAATTTATTATCGACTTGGTCCAAGCCAATTATCGCTGGATTGTATGGGAATACCATCCTCTTTGAAAAACAGTAATGTGGCCGTGTGTAGAAATCCAAATCCCACTTCTTTTTGCAAACATATGCCCAGTGAGTTTTGTTTTTAAAAGTGGTTGTTGACATTTAAAACAAAATAATCTTTGGCCAAATTAATCAGGAACGGATGGCGTGGTGCCTTCTTTGAACTGCCCTGCTGACGTTGAAGCTGGTTCAGATGGCACAGCCACCTGGACTCCGCCAACACCGACTGATGCTTCAGGGATCGTCTCAACCACCTCAACTTTAACCCCAGGATCAGTAGTCCCGGAGGGTTTCACCACTGTCACCTACAATACTGTTGATGGTACTGGCAACCGAGCCTCCTGTTCTTTCATAGTGCAAAGGGCAGGTAAGTCCAATGACTACCGGTATTTAAAATTGACTTGAGTTAATTGCCACATGTCTGTTTTAAAGCAAATTTCATATCTCACAATATCCCCCAACATAGATTTTGCAGCCTTGCTTAATTTTTACGGCCAAAATTCCCCATTCACCAATTGCATGGAGAATGCTTTATTACAAACCCCATTTATATACTTTGGATAGTTTAGTCATTTCTCTTGATCGAGACCCTGTCACAACGTTGATTTTAAACAACCTTAAAAAAACCGTAAACACTACACTGATGAAGTATAGTTATAGCTATGCAAACTTATGCACAGTTTTCTAACGTTTATAACTGTTCTTCCACACTTAGTCTTTCATTTGACGTCGCATAATTAGGTCTATACTCTTAAAGGGAATATACAACATTTGCAAACATCGAAAAATAAAACTACCAAGTTTTTGCGAAATACCTTAATAGGATGTTGGTAAATGACAGTCTAAAACATCCTGTAAAATTATGGCACCTGGTATACTGTCATTTTCAAGAAAAGTGGTATTTTTGTATCAATTTCCAACGCTGATCGGCCGATCAGCGTTGGAAACAACTGGCTTTTTTTCAAATACTGGCCCCAATTGACCATTGCACTTGTTTGCAATCGATTACAAACCTATGAACGGGTACGAGCCAGCTAGACTGGTTCCCTGACCTTACAATTCCCTAATGTATGTAAACTGCTCTGTTTCTTCTTTTATGGAGTCAGGGAGCCAGACTACAGGAATATGATCGTTTTTCTTGGTTTTTATAGCATTTTCGAACCCAAAACCTCCAAAAAGTCAGTGTAACTATATTTGCTTTATATTTCCAACCCCCCAATTCCATCCATTTCTGAAAATTACAGCAAAAGCAAATGATGTATATTCCCTTTAACAAAAGTGCAACACACCATGCATTTACGTGATATCAATTACATATTAATGAAATGCTGAGAGCTTTCTTTTTGTTTTGTGCCTTCACTACCTCTTAATTCATACAGTAACCGGCGCTTTTGGGCCGGTCATCACAAGCTGTCCAAATAATATCCAGCAGACAGTGACCAGTGCCAGTGGTATTGTGACATGGACAGAACCAACAGCTTACGATGACAGTGGGCATGTGCGGCTCGTCATGCAGACTCACTCTCCCAACACTGCTTTCCCAGTTGGCACAACACCAGTGGAATACCTCTTCCAAGATCCAACAGGGAGCACTGCTAGATGTGTCTTCACGGTCGAACTCACTGTTGCAGGTCAGTTTCTAGGCACATGAGTCTAGTGTCTGTATCTGTTAGCTTCTGTACAAACGCCTGGTGTGGCTATCGCGTACAGCCTCATGTATGAGGATAACTGTCAGAAACACCGGGGCGAACCCCTCCTCTTAGCGATAAGTGTTTGCTGGGTCCTTTTACGTGCATTATACAACACACGGGACCCACGGCTTTACGTCCCATCCGAAAGACGAAGCGATAATGGTTAAGTGCCTTGCTCAAGGGCACTAGTGTCTGGGCCCGGGCTTGAACCCACGCCACTGTTGCCTCTGAAACACCAGAGCATTAGTCCAGCAGTGCTCTTAACTGCTAGGCCATCTCACCCCATCATCAGACTGCATGGTCACTTTCAACAAATCGTAGGAATCTGGTTTTCAGCCATGTTAATACAATTAGTATTAGTTTTTGCTGCTCCAAGGGAGGTCCAGCCTACATCCCTCTTTGTACCTCACTGACTCACGTGCTGTCAATTGTGAATTAATATAGCTCTATGGCGTCAGCGAACCTCGAGCGTTTATCCAATGGGCGCAAATAATAAGTGGTGCGCGCGTGTGGATGACGTTTTTACTAACGAACCGGATAAAAAGACTAGATGGGCAGTGTGTAAACACCTTCAATCGTAGACCTCTATTGTCCCTATTTTGTTTGTACACTCTTACTTTTTAGGAAGTCGATTCAATAAATTTAATCAATGTAATCAATTCATGCAATTCAATCAATTCGATCAATTCAATCAATTCAATCAATCAAATCAATCAAATCAATCAAATCAATCAAATCAATCAAATGAATCAAATGAATCAAATCAATCAAATGAATCAAATGAATCAAATCAAATGAATCAAATGAATCAAATGAATCAAATGAATCAAATCAATCAAATCAATCAAATCAATCAAATCAATCAAATCAATCAAATCAATCAAATCAATCAAATCAATCAAATCAATCAAATCAATCAAATCAATCAAATCAATTAAATCAATTCAATCAATTCAATCAATCGAAAGGACCTTGATGGTAAGAACTCTTTATGAAACAAGTAGGGTACAAGACAGTAGATCAATTTGGAGAACACCTTTCGGAGATACGGCAGCTAGGCTCACGCTCGGACAATGTCCTTTAAATTCAGTTTCAAGTTCAATGAATATATTTCCATTGAAATGATGTTTTCTTTTATTGGCTGTTTCGGCACTTCTGCCGAAACAGCCTTTGTTTTCGTTAGGCCAAAAAAAAAAGTCTCCGGTTTCTGGTATGGAGCTTGCCCAAAAAGTGGTGCGGCGACGCGTTTTTTTTTTTACGTGTTTTTTTCGCTTCAAATGTTGGCTGATGACTGCAAATGGTGCCCGACTAAACTTAGTGCAACTATATGGGAGTCCAGGAAACCACATAAAGCTTATTCTCGATCATAACCCCATCTAAAAACACGTTAAAATTGTGCAGCAGCAGGATTCCAGTCAAACCAGTGAGTTTGGCGGTTTTGAAACATCATCTTATATTGAACAAAAAACTTTTTAATTTTGCAGACGCGCATGGCTAGGCTACGGCGATGCGCGCGCATACCAGAAACCAAAGACTTTTTTTTTTGGCTTTAAGATTTTTTTTGGGGGGGGGGGGCTGTTTCGGCAATTTTGCCGAAACAGCCTTTGTTTTCGTTAGGATTTTTTTTTTTTTTTTTGGTTTTTCCGCTGAACAGCGGAAAAGCCTTTGTTTTTGTTCTGATTTTTTTTTCTTTTTGATCTTTTTGGGTCCACCCCAAATCACATTGACTTTGTACACGTTTTTGGTACCGCCACTTTTCCAATGGAACTTATCTCTAGTAAAGACTCTATAGTGAAGTTGTGTCTCGAAGAGTGACGTCATGATTACGTCATCATGGGTCACGTGACGTCATCACAAACGTGCATATTTGGAAGGCCTATATCTACAGAACAGTCAGTCCGATTGGGTTGAAACTCGATATGTTGGTAAACCGGGATGTGTTATAGGTAAACATTGAAATGACGTCACGATGACGTCACGTTGGCTTATAAAATATTGTTTATTGTTGACGATGCAGTTGGCGGTGTAGATGTGACACCTCCTGTCATCAGTGGTTGCCCAGCCGATATAACTGTCAACCCGGATGCTGGTCAAACCTTTGCCACTGTAACATGGACACCACCAACAGCAACAGACAACAGTGGAGCTCAGCCAAATGTAGCCAGTACTCACAATCCCGGGCGAAGATTTAATGCTAACACAGTCTCCCAAGTAACCTACACATTCTGGGATGCCCGAGTCAACATTGCCACATGTCAATTTACTATCACAGTCACAGGTAAGGGGAAAAAAACATTATATTTTCTTGCACTTCTGATGATTTTTGAGCTAACCAATTCAGTTTCTCATTAATGTTACTTATTCAAAGATTCAATGGTCTGTAGAATTCTCAGCAATACTAAAACAAATGCATGTATGAATGAAGGATTCTAATCTCTTCAACCAGTCGTCAATGCACAGTTTGTACGGTACGAGCAAGCTCTGATTGGAGTACTTACCAGCTGGAAATAAGTTTAAGGATTACTCAACATTACATCTAAAAACTATCTACAGAGCCTGTAGGCTGTTAGCACGTTGGAGATCCATTTCAGTAAATTCCACAATTGCGTTATTTTCGGAGATTTAAGATTTTACTACAAAACACCATGCTTTACAAAATCACGATGATGATCTTTGGCATGGTGAAGAGGGCATACAAAAATTGAGTGGCAACGATTGATCATACGACGGTGTACACAATACAACATAAACATACATTGAGAACAATAGTGAACTATTTATATCGCTCTGTTGTTCCGTTGCGGGCTCCAGAATCTACAAGGCTTAGATATGGGTTTAATCGATTCTAGTAGAAACCGGAACCTGAAACGGAACCCCGCACCAGGAAAAGGGGCCGGGTGGGTGGGAAAACCATACAACTTACCACGGCTGCAAACTTCTAGGCGTACCAAACAAGATATATTTACTCACCTCTTATGAGTTACACTCTTACCACGTACAGCCCCGCGAACTCCACGCCTTCGGTCAGCTAGAATCACGAATGACTTGATTCCTCTGTCGCCCTCATCGTTTAGAGCGGTACAAATAGTGAACTATTTATATCGCTCTGTTGTTCCGTTGCGGGCTCCAGAATCTACAAGGCTTAGATATGGGTTTAATCGATTCTTTCCGAAACCCCCTACCGAGCTCCAGCCCTCAAACCATTCATACTCACCATTTCATCATCCACCCATCTCTAATCCCAACTCTTACCCTAAAACCTGCCCCACCCTTAAGGAAAAACGAGGACCAATGCTGCTTAATTTATATTCATTTGTGTATTTTAATTATAAAACAAAAGAGTACCCTTTTCTTTGTTATGCATGCATTCTCAAATAATTATGTCACGTAACCTGTCAAACTTGATACACCGCCTCTTGCATTCAAAAGTTGCCATTTTGCAGATGATCTTTGCCAATTTTAAAATTACTACACATGAATATGATTATGATTATGACTTGATTAAGACCTTATAATGGAGTAGTACACCTTAAATAAGAAGCCTGTCCCCCACCAAGCATCTTATGTGCTGTTCCTATTCATGCTCTTCTAAATATTTTCCTCTTTCTTTCCATAGGAAAGCACTGAACTAAGGCTTAAAGCCCAATGCCACAAGCAGATCCAACAGTAGGCCTATAAAATCTGAAATCTATGGAAATGCTCGCTGAACCTTGAAGCCTGAGTTAAGTCCTCTGAAAAAAACATCCCGCTAGATCAGCTGAAGATTGCTGACCCTGATCCTTACTGACAGCATCACGCAGTGCCTGTACTGTTTGTTTACGCCTGGTTATCTTTTCCAACTCTGTGTAGTGCTTATAGGTTTTCCTGGAAGCCCATCTGCAGTGATCCATGACCTGCTCCTCTGAAGCTCCAAGGAGACGTAAGGTGGCTGCCACCCCCGCTCGGTTTCCATGGGCCCTCAGCCGGCTATCGTCTGGATCTGATGAAGAGGAAAAGTAGGCCTGCAAACGCACGTTGGGAGCGGCACCTACGAAAGGCTTGTTGACAAGATACCTGTGGTCCTGTGTTGAAGGCCGAAAGAGAAAACCATCTGTAAGGCTGTAACCGTTTGACCTTGCCAGTTCCACCAAACTGTTAACTGCCCCGGCTGGGTCCAGATCTGTTTGACCCTCCAGCTTTGGAATGACAATAAGCGAAGAAGAGGACTCTCTAATCGTTTTCCCTACGGTGTGGTTGAAGAGAAGGTCGCCGCCCTCTATTCTCGAAATCTCGCATGTCATGGTCCTGCCTAAGTCGCCTGCCCTGTCACCAGCCCACCAAAGACATAAAAAGAAAGCTAAATCTCTCTGCAATATGTATCTCTGAATGAATGGAGAGCTGCTACATTCTCGGGATGACAAACGCCTCTTTATTTCTGTCGCCAACCAGCGTAACTTATCTGAGAATATTGGGACGGCTTGCCTTGGTGTGACGTGTGCCTCGGCCTGTTCCAGTCGAATAGCCCGTAGATATCTTTGAACCCGCTGTGATATGCAAGGGTTACCCCATAACGAGCCTGAGCGCCAAATCTCGGTTCTGCCTACAGAATTGTAATATCCCCTGAGCTGGCCAATGTAAGAGTCCACAGTTCCGGCTGCTAAATGACGAGGGCATTCACAAGGGAAGAAGCCATGCTTGCCCAAGTTTTCACATCCAACGGTGTGGACTTGTGTTCTCCCTTTAGAATCCTTGTCCACTAGGAAGGCGACAATATCCAGGGGCGTAGCTGAGTGTAAGTCGACTCCCTCTGTGTGGTATCCTTCGCCGTGGTGTTTCTGGATAAATTCTTCGAGTGATGCCACCAGCTTACTTTTCTGCTTTTCGTATGCCCGCCCATCCAAAAGGCCATCTAGCGTCTTCAACCTCGCCAGTACCCCGTCACGCTTTGAAAAAGAAGATGTAAATTTGTTTACGATCGATGTTCTGTTGTTCTATCGGAAACAAGCTATGTCGGGACCAGTGCGCAGGTGCAGAGCTGACCTTAAAACCATCTGCAACCTACGATGAAGCTTTAGACTGCCCCACCAAGACAGATGGACATCGTCCCTCAGATCCTCTTGCATAATGTAATCATTGGAGAGGAAAGTCCAGCCGGCCTCATTACATATGGCTCTTAGGGCTTCGTTAACTACGGCTACCGAACGGTTTACTTTCACCAGCCTGGTTTGACAGACCGATGACAGGATGAAAGCGCAATCGGGAAACTCGGCCCGAAGCCGAACGGCAGCTGCCCTGAACACTCTTATGACCTCTTGAACCCCCTCCTGACAATCTGCCAATCTGCTGAAATCATTGATGCCCCCATGTAAAACCACTGCATCCTGTGCATGTCGTCGACAAGAGGTGGCTGCTGCTCTACACAATGATGAGATATTATGACCCCCTCTTGTGACCAGCTGCACATCTAGGCTCAAGGGCCAACTGAATCCTTTCAAGCCTTTAAACATGGAATCTGACATGAGAAGGACCCTCCTTTGCTTGGGCAGCGGATTTTCCTTCATATGTTTACCGCAGTGAGGAAAGAAACATTCAAAGGCCCAAAGCTGAAAGGGCAGACCCTTCTTATTCGGCGTGTAACCATTAGCTGATGGATACTCAATGACCCCCATCTGTCCTTCCTCTGACAGACGAACTGACTGGCGTGCATAAGAAAGCAGACTTGGCCACCATGGCTTCGGGTGAGGGTGCTTCGGTACAACCATCGTTACCTTCACATTTCCCCATTCCTGGAACAGTCGAATGAGTGAAGCTATCAGAACAAAAGGTGGGAATACATAAAGCTCTTCGCCCACCGGGCACTGCTGGGCAAAGACATTTACCCCCGACGATCCAGGTGCCGGATCCCTTGAGTAGAATTTTAGAGCAGACCCGTCTAACCCACTCGGCACATTTGAAGGAAGTGCCATCAAGTCAAATGTGAAGCCTCGAGGTCCACCCAACTCTCTCTGAAGAAGCTTCCAGATTGACTGGGATAATCGAGCATCTGCCTTAGACACCTCTCTTGACGGGGCATCCGCTGGATTTTGCTTGGAAGGGACCCATCTCAACTGCAGCGTGAAGTTAGCCTCTAAAGTAAGGGCGAAAATCAACTTTAAAACCCTTGCCAAAGCTGTCGACTTCGCTCTGCGCCTGTTCCAAACATCGAAGAGAGCTAATGCATCAACGGTCACGTCCACACGTCTATCCCACAATGAGTCTAAGGCCGACTGCAAGACAAAATACAAAGCCAATGCCTCTTTGCAGCATATGTCTTCCACAGCTAGAATATCTTGAGGCCAGTAATCTCCAAAACTCGTGTTTCCTGACGGACCGACCAAAACTCCTCCCCAACGAAAACCAGACGCGTCCGAACTCAGAGCCACTGATACATGGTGCTCCTTTTTCCAAGGTATGGGTTGCGAGAATGAATCTATAAAACGCCAGAAAAGGATCTCGGCTCTCACTTCTTGTGTAAGAGATGTGGGGGAAACGTCGTCTAAACTTGACATAAATGTGCAACACTCTCTTACGAACAAGGATGCCGCTGGAAATACCAACGTGAAGCTTTGGCATTTTCCGACAAAGCGTTGAAGCTGCTTTAAAACAACCTGGTCTGCCAATAGGATATTCTCTCTTACTTCGGCAAATGATATCTTTTTCTTCTCTGGAATCCAGAAAGACAAGGATTTTGAACAGATCCCCAGACCCAGATGGATCATTCTAGAGGATGGCTGCAGATGGCTTTTCTCCATGTTGATGAAAAACCCCAAATGTGATTTCATGTAGCAAACCACGTAAAGCGACCTCAGAGCCCTGTCGAAAGCCCCGTCATCTGACGCACACTCGATTTCTGGGCACTGTGACACGAACAAATTAGAAAGGGAAACAAAGGAGAAATGACCCATATTGAGAATGTCAGATAACCTATTTAGGTGTTGCCGATGAGCCCGAACACTCGCCTATAAAACGGTCATCAATCCAAACCTCGGTATGGATACCCCGGTTCTTTAGCCATGTTGACAGGCACGAACCAATAGTCGTGTAAATGAATGCGCTGTTTTTAAAGCCAAATGGTAAGGTCGTGTCTACAAAATAGTAGCCAGCCCACTCAAAGCCACAGAAGGTCTTAGACGCTTCCGACAAAAGTATTTGCTTGTAGCCCTGTGCGTCATCGGTAGCTGAAAAGAAGCCATTTCTGTTAATGGATTTCGCAATTTCGCCCAAGGGAACTAATCTAAAAGGCGTGTCTTTACACCAAAGATTTGGTCCCTTCATCGACAAAACAAGTCTTGGCTTTTTGGGTTCTATGGCTAAAGCATTCACACATCTTGGCGGCTGAACTTCGCATGTTTTCCCCAAAAGCTCCACGGAGCCTTCTATAAGTCTCTTGGTCAAAGTCTCATTGATGAAGGGAACGAACTTGCGACACGACGGAGCATTTGCGAAATACATCTGTGGGGGCACGTCAGAGTCGAATTTTCTGCCTCGATATTCTCCTTTGAAAGGCTGGAAAAAATCAAAAACATCCACCCCTTGTCGCAGCCATTTAGATACGACCGGACCATCCGCCGACTCTTCAAGAACCCCGTCCCAAAGTCCCGGGTTCACATTCAGTGATCCAGCTACAAAAAGGTCTGGGTCTCGAAACCGCAGTGCTTGCATATCTGGCAAGACTCTGCCTGAGATGACATCCAGCGGGTCTGGTGCACATGCCATAGGGGAACTTACGGGTTTTCCAGATATGTCCACCCAACTGAGGACTTCCCTCTCTCGCTTTGCTGCCTGGGCCGCGAAGGGGTCAAAACACCGAATAGAAGATCTCTCCCATGAGTGACTCTCCAGCACTCTCCGGTAGCGCAAAAGTTCCTAATAAAATGGTACGAAAATTTCTAAGATACACATATATATATTAATTGTATATATATGTATAACTACTTTTTTTTTTTTTTTTATTGGAGAGGAGCACCAGAAGGAAAAAACTCTCGCAAATTACAATTTTGCGTCTCTCTAGCTCTTCAACTGCGAACCCTGTTTTTATTCCAATATTTATTCTCATGGCTATCAATTAAGGCCAAACAAATCCACATATTATTACACTCATGATTCTTTATGTTAACGTACATATTTAGTAAATGTCATACTCTGACAATATTCAAATATCCAAGGGTATGCACTAAGAGAGGACCATTTAAATTGGATACCATCAAATGCTTTAACCATCAAGTGGTATAGCACCCATCACTGACCATCAAAATGTCCACGTGCTGCATCTGCCAGCATTTATTTTCAATTAATCCTCAGTAAACTTGATATTGTCATTAACCCTGACCATCTGCACTCGCCTCGCCCTCGGCATTTCCTACAAAATCTCTTTGCAGTCGCGGGCCATGTGTCCCCGCTTTTGGCAGCGAAAGCACGCACCTGCCTGCTTAGCTGCCCCTAAACTACTGCGAAAACCCCAGCCACGTTGACCTTGCTGTGGATTCCATCGGGGCCGAAAGCTCTGCCGCCATGGCCTGGCAACGCCACCTTGTGGCCCCACCCGCGCTTTATTATCGGCAGGAGGAGCGGCCAAACCTAAATGCTTGCGAGCGAATCGCAAACGCTTGTCGGAATCCTCGCCCGTAATCGACTTGTAGATATACATGGCGATACCCTGTACCTTAGCTTCTACATGTTTCGTGCACTCGGTGAGTAGATTCACGTACATCTGTTTCTCTTTAATGTCGTCGGAGGACAGTGGTGCAAACTCATCCACGTACTTCCTTAGTAGTGACATCACGTATGCTACATTGCGGTCATAGCCAGTCTCCGCGCAGGCCTTCAAAAGCTCCAGTCGCCTTGGCTTGTGGACCTCAAAAGCGGATTTCGCCTGCATCATATATAAACAAACGAACGCCGAACATGCAACTCACAGGCCAAAATGCAGAGTAGAAATATGCCATCATTGATGTGCCCAAACTGGTATCTACTCTATATCATGATCACGGATTAATATCCCATGGACTAAGCTCGGATCACACTGGGTTTCCTGAGCTTTCTCTCGTGGCCCTGCCACCTCTAGCCTGTTGGAGGTCCAACCTCGATTCCAAATATAGCTCTGGTCAATCATGTTTCTCTATAATTATCGCTAGCTAGCTACCATTGACGTATTTTGCCCGCAGCAAGATAAATAACCATTCTCTACCTTAATAAAGCTCAGATCTATTCAATCTTTTTTGATCTCAGTATCATTGTTATTTTACTGCTATATATTGTCGTTATCTGCTCTAACAAACCTAACTGGACTATAAAATTCTCGGCAAACTTTGGTTAACATCTTGTCTGCGGGAATGCTGACTTAAGTGGTCTATCCTTTACCATATCCATATTTATAATTTTATTTTATTTTATATATATATATATATATTTTTTTTTTTTTTTTTTTTTTTACGACGTTCCGTTGTACATTGAGGTCAAAACTCGGTCTAAAATTGCTTAAATATTTAAAATTAGATATAAGGTTTGCTCTGCGGCGCCTCAGAGATCAAATAATGACCCGAGATCAAATAATGCTATCTTGGTCCTCTCAATTCGGATCAGGACCCTGAATCAAAGTTGGAATGGGATGCTATCCCAATGTGCATTGAGGCCCAGCCTCGGCTCGAACTTTCGGTACCTTGTCCCCCTGCATGTCCGATTTCCAATGAACCTTTGGAGGTTCGCCCTCAGAAATAAATAACTTATCAGCTTTTCCTCAATGAATCCTGTTCCTTATTATCTCAAGATCCAACCTGACTCCAAATACTTCAATTTATCAACATTATTTCCCAGAATTTCCTTTCTATGGTTCTTAAGGCCCAATCTCTGAATTAACTTAAATTTAATTTTTTACATTTCTACCTGGAAACCCTGCCCCTTATCACCTCAAGGCCTAACCTTTGAAACGACACCGAAATAAAATTTTATCAGACTTCTCTCGGGGAATCTTGCCCCTTTCCATCTCAACGCCCGACTTCTGGATCGAAACCTATAAAGCTTAAACTATGCGCTCTCTTCAGGGAACCCAGCCCCTTCTCACCTCTGGATTCAACCTCTGAATTGAACCCTAAATTTAATTTTCTGAAAGGTATGCTGAAATACTACATAACCTTAAATGAACCCCAACAAGGCGTCTGCGGATTTTATATAATTTACATCCAATATCTCAGGGGTCCTGCCCCATCTCACCTCGAGGTCCAACCTCAGATCCAAAACCAACGCCCGATTTCTCGTGGGTCCTACCCCAGGCGCATCTCGAAGTCCAACCTCGGATCCAAAACTATAATCCGATTTTCGGGGGGTCCTACCCAAGTGCTTCTCAAGGTCTAACCCCGGATTAAAATAACCTTTTCCCAATTAAGTATTGGATGCCAAATCCCCTTTGCGGTTCCAATTTCGCTACTTATAATGGAATTCCTCGAAACCCCTATCATGCGTCTCACCTCGAGGTCGAACCTCGGATCCAAACTAAAATCCAATTTATTGTGGGTCCTACCCCAAGTGCAACTCAAGGTCCCACCTCGGATCCAAAAACTTTTTCTCAATTTAGAATTGGATTTAAAATTCACTTTGCGGTTCAAATTTGGCTACATAATATGGAATTCCTTGAAACTTTTAGCATACGTCTCACCACGAGGTCGAACCTCTAAAATCCAATTTCTCGTGGGGTCCTACCCATGTGCATTCCAAGGTCCAACCTCGGATTCAAACCTTTCCCGATTAAGCATTTGATTTCAAATCCACTTTGCGGTTCAAATTTGGCTACATAATGGAGTTCCTCGAGACCTTTACCATACGTCTCACCTCGAGGTCCAACCTCGTATCCAAAACTAAATTCCAAATCCCGAGTGCATCTCAAGGTCCAACCTCGGATTCAAATAATCTTTTCCCAATTAAGTCTTCGATTTTAATTCCACTTTGTGGTTTACTTCTGGCTCCATAATCATAGAACCCAAGATATTTCTCATAAACCCTACCATACATCTCGCTTCGAGGTCCAACCTCGGATCCAAACCTATATTTTCTTGGGACCTTGTTCATGCGCCCTAGGTCCAACTTCGGGCTCACAATCTTAGCTCAAAAGGAACGAACATTTCTTTGTGCCATCTGCAACTAATGCTGACTTTATTCCATCAAACGATCTGCTCCACCGGAAATGTACAAACCTTGGGTCCTTAATACTTTGAAAACGTTTTACTTCGACGGTTCCGCCGCCTACGCCCCAATATCCAAACATCATATAACTATACCTTGCCCACAATTTTTTAAGGGAACGAATATACAATGAAATGCAAACAAGTTTATAAATACAATACACTTCCAATCTTATTCACCTGTGGCACCGGGCTAGGAGTCGTCTTCTGATCGACAGCGTCATCCGTTGCATCACTGGGACCAGGACATGTTGCGGCACCGGCATCTTTCGCTGGCAGCGCGTCAGCCGCCTTGTTCTGCTCTCCCTGCTGTTGGCGTTTCTGCTGCTTGGAAAGCCTTCCGACCGCCTGTTCGGCCAGTGGGCCCGCCTCCACACGTGCCATCAGTCGCTCAAAATTTCGCCGCTGACCTCCATTAGGGGCAAGGGCCAAAATGTGGTCTGACCACGCCCTATCTAGACCTAACAACTGGTCCACATCTTCCCAGCCGTCTTTAATCATGTCTTCAAAATACTTGGCCGAGATCTTGAACGCCACACAGAGCCCTTTAAATGCGGGACTTGCCTGGGTTTCTACGCCTTCGTAGGCGTCGGGTTTCTCCTGCAAAATAAAAGGCGTTTGAACATTAAATTGAGAACACCAATGCCGCCACTTAGAGTTCAGTCGATCTAAAGCACGAATATAAATGATGCGGAGCGCCGGCTTAATGCTGCCAGCGCGAACCTAATATCACGGACTAAAACAATTTGATTGTTAACTGAAAGGTTGAAGCATTCTACGTAGGCCTGCCTACATGCAGCTGAAATTATATAGATAAATGAGGACCCCTGGCCCAAGGCTTTCATTCTGCCTGCCGATAAAATAGACACCTGAAGAACATAATTCCTTATTCTTTATTATTATTATTATTTAATCTCAAAACATCGATCCCCTGATGTGTATTGGCCGGGACCGAACAAACCTCGTTATTATCCGCGTTGTACGATTTATTGTTCATGCAGTGTTCAACTAGTGCATCATTTATTTATTTAAGATCCCTTGCATTCCAGCATTTATTTAATAATTTGAAACGTAAGATTTATTCTGGGTGTTTTGTCTAAATGAAATGATGGGCTACCTTACCTCCACTATATCGTACGTGATATCCATGTCTTGATTGAGAGAACTGAAATTGAAATCGCACTATAGGGTTCGGAAAATCCAAAATGTACTGCGCACCGAAACACTGACCGTGGGCATTCCTCAAACGCCAAACGGTTCATTCAAGCACGTTGCGATCGCACCCAAACGAATCTCACTTCACGGCCCGCCGATTCACAATAGACAACATTCTCACGAAGCAATAATTTGCATATCATGGCCATCAGCAACGTCGTCAGACTGCCCTCTGAACGACATTGTGAGCCATGCGCACTCAGCAAGATTATCAACGGCCGTTGGAAGGTCTTTCAACGACCTGAAAAGTGCTAAACAGGATGATAAAATCGTACAAGGCAACTATTATTTTCGGGGAGCATAGCTCTCCGCGACACAATATTATAAACACAAGAACATTTTCTCCATGCATGTACATGTACCAGCAGGCCTGGCTAATCAACCCACATTTCTATTCAATAAACAAGAACAGTCTTACCGTTAATTTCCTTCGACAAAACCGCTCCAGAATGCCATAAAACCATAAACTACCCCTGATCTCCCGATCGCATTTCCCCCAAATTGCTCTCCTTATCCCGATTCCCCTATACTTATCATAAGATAGGGAATCGCTAATAATCGCCAGCGTAGCTCAAGGACACCCAGCTGGCGAGCTGCTAGAATCACGAATGACTTGATTCCTCTGTCGCCCTCATCGTTTAGAGCGGTACAAATAGTTGATTCCTTTTACTGTTTCTCTTCATTTTGCGACGAATAAACCCAACCCCAAAATGCCTGTTTTCCAGAGAGGGGGAAACCTTGTGTGGACGTGGGCAAGTCCACCCAACGTATCTGAGACCTGGTTTATGTGGACATCTTTTAGTCACCACTAAAGCACTCTGTCAACCACTCGTAACATGTATATCCAGAAACCCCTTTGAAGATGAGACACTTAAATAGCTGGGCCCATGAATCTACAGATTTCTGTTTGAGGTACTTTGCTTAAATATTGTGGTGTTTTTATATTCAACAGTATCATCAAATCCGTGCTTACCTTCACCTTGCCAGAATGGTGGGACTTGTTACAACGTTTCTCCTGGGATTTCATTCATCTGCGATTGTCCTGAAGGCTTTCAAGGAACTAGATGTGAATCATACGGTATGTTTTCCCCCAAATTTTAATTGATGAAAATACTAATATATCTGGAAAAAAATGCAATATGTAGGGGGGGGGGGCCTGAATACAGAATATCCGAGGGAGGGGGAGACAAAATCTGCTTTTACACCTGATCCTGCTGTTACCTGCCTTGTATCACTTAGAACCATTTAATTTTGAACGATGTCTAATCTTCAAAGCTCAATTGTGATTCGACCTTAATATTACAAGGTTTTCGAGAAAAGTGGTATTTATACTAAAATGGTTACTTATCAAGTAGTTCCATAGGAAAATGTAAATGATGTCTATAAAAAAAGTAAAACTAGGGACTACACGATTAAGATTAAAACAAATCACGCTAAGTTTAGATTGAAATACACACACACAACTAATAAAATCGAGTTAAAACTTAATCTATTAAAGGGAATAATACAACATTTGCAAACATCAAAAAACAAAACTACCAATTTGTTTACGAAATACCTTACTTATTGCTGGTAAATGACAGTCTAAAGCATCCTGTAAAATTATGACACCATGTGTGAAGTCATTTTCAAGAAAAGTGGTATTTTGTAAAAAAATTCCAACGGTGGTCGGCCGACCACCGTTGGAAAAACCAAACTATTTTTCAACTACTGCTCCATATTTATCAGGTTTTTTTTCAGTCCAAATTTTGTTTGCTATTGTCAACATGTTCATGAACGGGTGCAGGACAGTTTGACTGGTTCCATTACCTTACAATTTTCCGGCATCTATAAATTGATCCATTTCATCTTTAGTGGAGTCCGGGAACAAGACTACTTGAACATTTTTGTTTTTCTTGGTTTTTGCAGCAGTTTCGAACACAAAACTTCAAACATGTCAGTCTAACAATACTTGATTTGAATATACTAACCCATCGAAATATTTCATTTCTGAAAATTATAGCAAAAGCCAATAATGTACATTCCCTTTAAATTGACTGAATTTCACTCTAAATCGTATGGTCCCTAGTTTCAGTCGGCGGGAGTGAATTTTCACTCCTTGGAATTGTATGAGAGAGTGTCAGGTTGTATTGATGTTATTGTGAGAAAATTTCACTGATCGATTTCCCATGAGGTACTTTGCTTGAATATTGTGGTGTTTTTATATTCAACAGTATCATCGTCTCCGTGCTCATCTTCACCTTGCCAGAATGGTGGGACTTGTTACACGAATTCTTCTGGGGATCAAATCTACTGCAATTGTCCTGAAGGCTTTCAAGGAATAACATGCGAAACATACGGTATGTTTTCCCCAACTTTTAATTGATGAAAATACTAATATACCTTGGAAAAAAATGCAATATGTATAGGGGGGAACGAATACAGAATATCCGAGGGAGGGGGAGACAGAATCAGCTTTTTTACCTGATCCTGCTGTTACCTGCCTTGTATCACTTAGACCCGTTTAATTTTGAACGATGTCTAATCTTCAAAGCTCAATTGTGATTCGACCTTAATATTACAAGGTTTTCGAGAAAAGTGGTATTTATACTAAAATGGTTACTTATCAAGTAGTTCCATAGGAAAATGTAAATTATGTCTATAAAAAAAAGTAAAACTAGGGACTACACGATTAAAATTAAAACAAATCACGCTAAGTTTAGATTGAAATACACACACACAACTAATAAAATCGAGTTAAAACTTAATCTATTAAAGGGAATAATACAACATTTGCAAACATCAAAAACAAAACTACCAATTTGTTTACGAAATACCTTACTTATTGCTGGTAAATGACAGTCTAAAGCATCCTGTAAAATTATGACACCGTGTGTGAAGTCATTTTCAAGAAAAGTGGTATTTTGTAAAAACAAATCCAACGGTGGTCGGCCGACCACCGTTGGAAAAACCAAACTATTTTTCAACTACTGCTCCATATTTATCAGTTTTTTTTTCAGTCCAAATTTTGTTGGCTATTGGTAACATGTTCATGAACGGGTGCAGGACAGTTTGACTGGTTCCATTACCTTACAATTTTCCGGCATCTATAAATTGATCCATTTCATCTTAGTGGAGTCCGGGAACAAGACTACTTGAACATTTTTGTTTTTCTTGGTTTTTGCAGCATTTTTGAACACAAAACTTCAAACATGTCAGTCTAACAATACTTGATTTGTTATACTAACCCATCAAAATATTTCATTTCTGAAAATTATAGCAAAAGCCAATAATGTACATTCCCTTTAAATTGACTAAATTTCACTCGGGACTAAATCGTATGGGGTCCCTAGTTTCAGTCGGCGGGAGTGAATTTTCACTCCTTGGAATTGTATGAGAGAGTGTCAGGTTGTATTGATGTTATTGTGAGAAAGTTTCACTGATCAAATTTCCCATGAGGTACTTTGCTTGAATATTGTAGTGTTTTTATATTCAACAGTATCATCGTCTCCGTGCTCATCTTCACCTTGCCAGAATGGTGGGACTTGTTACAATAGTTCTTCTGGGGATCAATTCTACTACTGCGATTGTCCTGAAGGCTTTCAAGGAACTGCATGTGAATACGGTATGTTTTCCCCCAACTTTTAATTTATGAAAATACTAATATATCTGGGGGAAAAAAAATGCAATATGTAGGGGGGGGGGGGCGAATACAGAATATCCGAGGGAGGGGGAGACAGAATCGGCTATTACACCTGATCAAGCTGTTACCTGCCTTCAGTGGCGTAGCCAGGAATGTTTCAGTGGGGGGGGGGGGGGGGGGGGCCGCTGGAAGATTTCATGGGGGCGTCAACCAGGGGCGTCAATCGCTTCTCAAAAGTGGGGGGGGGGGGGACATACCTTGATCATAACTGATGCAAGCGCGAAGCCCTTACGGCGTGGTGTTTGGGGCCCGCCTAAGGGCCCCAAAAAAATTTGGATTCTAGATGTTCTGTGGTGTGATTTGAAGCAATTTCTTACGACTTTCCTCCATGCTTTAACAAATATTTTCTTGGCAAAAGATAATTATTTGGACATCGTTTTCGAGGTTGGAGACATTGAATCAGCTATCGGTATTCTGAGCTATTGGCGTGGGGTTCGGGGCCCGTCTAAGGGCCCCGAAAAAAAATTGGATTTTCGATGCTCTGTGGTGTGATCTGAGGCAATTTCTTACCACTTTAACCAATAATTATCTTAGCACAATAGATAATAGTTTAAACATAATTTTCGAGGTTTTCTCAGCTAAAGGCATAAGAAAATTTTTGGAAACTTGTTTTCGAGGTTGGAGTCATTGAATCAGCTACCAGAATTCTGAGCTATAGGCGTGGGGTTCGGGGCCCGCTTAAGGGCCCCGAAAAATTTTGGATTCTAAATGCTCTGTGGTGCTATCTGAGGCAATTTCTGACCACTTTAACCAATATTTTCTAAGCAAAAGATACATTGTAGTATGGCGTCATGTAGATCAATGATCATTTCTTTAGAAACTCAAAATCTCAGTGGGGGGCGACTGGGGGGCGACAAGGAGGGGGGGGGGGTCGCCCCCCACGCCCCCTACGCCACTGCCTGTCTTGTATCACTTAGACCCGTTTAATTTTGAACGATGACTAATCTTCAATGCTCAGTTGTGATTCGACCTTTGAATTACAAGGTTTTCGATAAAAGTGGTATTCATACTAAAATGGTTACTTATCAAGTAGTTCCATAGGAAAATGTAAATTATGTCTTTAAAAAAAGGAAAACTAGGGACTGCACGATTGGGATTAAAACAAATCACGCTAAGTTTAGATTGAAATACACACACACACAAATAATAAAATCGAGTTAAAAATCGAGTTAAAACTTAATCTATTAAATTGACTGAATTTCACTCTAAATCGTATGGTCCCTAGTTTCAGTCGGCGGGAGTGAATTTTCACTCCTTGGAATTGTATGAGAGAGTGTCAGGTTGTATTGATGTTATTGTGAGAAAGTTTCACTGATCGAATTTCCCATGAGGTACTTTGCTTGAATATTGTGGTGTTTTTATATTCAACAGTATCATCGTATCTGTGCTCATCTTCACCTTGCCAGAATGGTGGGACTTGTTACACGAATTCTTCTGGGGATCAATTCTACTGCAATTGTCCTGAAGGCTTTCAAGGAATAACATGTGAAACTTACGGTATGTTTTCCCCCAACTTTTAATTTATGAAAATACTAATATATCTGGAAAAAATGCAATATGTAGGGGGGGGGGGGGCGAATACAGAATATCCGAGGGAGGGGGAGACAGAATCAGCTATTACACCTGATCAAGCTGTTACCTGCCTTGTATCACTTAGACCCGTGTAATTTTGAACGATGTCTAATCTTCAAAGCTCAATTGTGAATCGACCGTTATATTACAAGGTTTTCGAGAAAAGTTGTATTTATACTAAAATTGTTACTTATCAAGTAGTTCCATAGGAAAATGTAAATTATGTCTATAAAAAAAGTAAAACTAGGGACTTACACGATTGAGATAAAAACAAATCACGCTAATTTTAGATTGAAATACACACACCCCACAAATAATAAAATCGAGTTAAAAGTCGAGTTAAAACTTATTCTATTAAATTGACTAAATTTCACTCTAAATCGTATGGTCCCTAGTT